TGACCACCATCTGAACCCGGGGGTCTCCAGCCCAGCCACAGAAGAGTGACTCAGCCTCTGTCGGCAGCTGGGGGGCAATGCCGCCCAGGCTGGGGTGAGCAGGGGAGTCCTGGGTCAGAGTCACTGACCTGGAAGTGGCCTGCAGGGTCAGTGCTTCGGGGCAGTGCAAGGTTGTCGCAGTTGCAGATGGCAGCCGCCAGGTGGCACAAGAGTGTCCAGCTCGGGCAGCCGTGGCCAAGTGTCCTGCCGGCTGCCCAGAAGGACTCCAGGGCTCCAGACATGGGCCCTCCCTGCCTCCAGTCCACCCCACGCCATCTCCAGGTGAGGCGAGGCCTTCTGTGTGTTCTGGGGGCATCTGACTGACTGTGGGTCCTGGCATGACGGGGTGCTAAGGGGAGTGGGACCAAAAGCCCCCTCCTCTTACTGGCACCAGAGACTGAGGCAGGAGGCCCAGGAGCAAAATGGAAAAGCCCCGAAAGTGCAGGAGAAGGAGGGACAGGAGCGGGGACAGTGGGGACCTTCGTCCCGGGCGTCCAAGTTCACGTCGAGCTCCAGTCGGGAGAACCCTGCAGAGCCCTGTTCTGATTTTCCACATCAATGGACATTTTAATCAAGGATAGGTAGCACCTGTCAATGCAAACTGCTCATTCTCGGAGCAGTCTTCCCTTGAGTCCGGAGGGCCCTTCTCTCACCCGGACCCTGCGTGTGTGTTTGTGTTTACGCCTGCGTGTGTGTGTCTCTGTGTCTGTATGTCTGTGTGTGTGTTTGTGTGTCTGTGTAGGCGTCTCTGTGTGTGTGTGTCTCTCTGTGAAGCTGTGTGTGTTTATGTGTCTGTGTCTGGTCTGTGTGTGTGTCTCTGTGTGTATGTGCCTCTGTGTGTGTCTGTGTGCATCTGTGTATGTTTGTGTGTGTGTATGTGTCTGTGTGTGTGTCTCTGTGTGTGTGTGTCTGTGTATGTTTGTGTGTCTGTGTGTGTCTATATGTGTGTCTTTCTGTGAGTGTGTGTGTGTGTCTGTGTGTGTGTCTGTGTGTGTCTGTGTGTGTGTGTCTGCGTGTGTGTGTGTGTGTGCCTGTGTTATGTTTGTGTGTCTATGTGTGTCTGTGTGTGTGTCTTTCTGTGAGTGTCTGTGTGTGTCTGTGTGTGTCTCTGTGTGTGTGTCTGTGTGTGTGTCTGTCTATGCGTGTGTGTGTGTGCGTCTGTGTCTGTCTGTATCTGTGTGTGTGTCTGTGTGTGTGTGTCTGCTTGGGTGTCTCTCTGCGTGTGTGTGTGTCTGTGTATGTGTCTGCATGTGTGTGTCTGTGTGTGTCTGTGTGTCTGCTTGGGTGTCTCTCTGCGTGTGTCTGTGTGTGTGTGTGTGTGTGTCTGTGTTATGTTTGCATGTCTGTGTGTGTCTGTGTGTGTGTGTGTCTGCTTGGGTGTCTCTCTGCGTGTGTCTGTGTCTGTGTGTCTGTGTGTGTGTGTGTGTGTGCATGCATGTGCACTCAGCTCCGTGGCGGGTCACAAACTCAAGGACACTTTATAAGATGTGCTTCTCTCTCTCCAGGTCCAGAGGCCCTTGTGTGATCCACTCTGCAAGTGGTTTCTGGGAGGCAGCTTTGCGGTCCTGCAAAGTCACCGAGAGCTGGTCACAAGGTGAGTAGTGCCTTCTGGAGCTGTGGCACCTCCGGGGGGCTCAGTGCACAGGCTGCCCTTCCCAGGAGACAGCCCTGGGCAGACCTGCCTCAGGAGGCCATGTCTGTAGGGAAGACCTGGGGAGGAGCAGGAAGGCCAGGAGGAAGCTGAACCCGCCCCAGGGATGGGGGACCCGGAGCCTCAAGGGGAGCCGGGGCCTGTGGCTGTGGCCCCAGCTGCCCTCCCCAGGGCCAGGGCGGCCGAGGTGGCCAGGCCAGCCGCAGCTCGATGCATTCACTTTTAAACAAACTCGCCGCAGCCCCAGTTCTTTCCTGGAAGGCCTTGTCACATAAATTTTCATTTAGTGCCATTGCATTCTCATCCAGGGAGCTGTCAGGGGTATTTTGAGAAGGAACTGGGAGGTCAGCTGGTCGGGCTTCAGCGGCGGCGCGGATTATGGCTCGGGCTGGATGCCAGACTTGGGGAAGACTCAGGGGGGCTGAGCCACAGGCCCCATCTCCTGTGGGGTCCTCAGGACGGCGCTTCCAGGGAGCTGACCCTGCAGACGGAAAAGCAGCCGCTGGGGTTTGACGTCAGAGGGGCTGGGGCTGTCCCCCTTTCTCCTGGATGTGAAACCCACAGAGGGGAGGCTGGCGAGGCCTTCAGAACGTCCTCTTTCTCCCTCAGGGCTGCAGATGGTGGCCTGGACGTGTGAGGGTCTGTCTGTGTGGACTTCCGTCTTGCCAAAGCGCTCTCGCGTACATCACCTCACTCGGGTCTCACGCGTGCCTGGAGTGATGCAGGACAGGAGCTCAGCCGTCTGTGCAGGACTGAGGCCCCACGGAGCTGGCAGAGTCCCCAGGGTCACTCCAGCAGAGGGGTCTGCAGGGGCCAGCTGCCCCCTGCCTGCCTGAGAAGCACCTGCTCACCCCAAGTCACTATTTAATGTCCATATGAAACTTTACAATGTGTGCAGAAAGGAATGACTTCTTTCCCCCCCACCCCGCCAGAACTGAGGCAGCTCGAGCTGGGGGTCTGACATGCTCCCCCTAGGACCCATGGCCACTTAATTAACAAGAGTGCCTTCAAGCCACCAGGCGTCAGCTCTCTCTACCACATCCTACAACTCCTAAAATCTGGCCCTCACCTTGAATCTGCTCTAGAATTTTCAACCCAGGAGAAAAGAGGCATAAGGGTTTCCCTGGCCAGTTGGAGAGGCCCAACATAAGAGATTAAATTCAGCAAATATTTATGGAGATGAACAGGTACCACAGGCTTGGGACAGAGCTGGGTGCAGCGGGGAAATGGAGGAAGTCTCCCAGCAGAAACCCAGGAGGGCCTCACAGAGGTGGTGTCCCGGGACCCCAGCCTCAGAGGAGCCTGGCTGTGCTGGCAGAGACAGGCGAAGGCTGGGCAGAGCCGTGCTGCGTGAGGACAGAGCGGGTGCCCTGGGAAGCATGTTTTTGTTGGCAGCCCTGACGCTAGAGCCATTCTGCATTTGGATGGCTGTGAGATAGGAGAATGTAGGTCAGTGGGTTTAAAAAAACACATCTCTGGACGTAGAGTGCATGTGAGTGTGTGCAGAGAAGCTGAGCCGCTTGCCTGAGAGTCAGTGTGTATAAAGCCCACTCTGGTTGGGAAGGGTGGAAACAGGGGGCTATCCCAGTGGTCCTGGCAGGGGACGGGAGGCAAACGAGGGCGAAAGACGCTCGTGTCTTCGTGAGACCGTCGGGTGCAGAGCGTCCACCGTGAGCACGTCCGCGCGCGTGGCACAGATACCAGTTCAGGAAGCTGCAGGGGAAATAAAACTCCAGCTGGTGAGAAAGTAGAGAGACCGGGGCGCCTGGACGGTGGAGAGGGGGGTGGGGGTGCAGAGGGGACCCAGGGACCAGAGGCCTCAGACTGGACGGGTTAGGGAGGGAACTTGGAAACGGAGAAGCAGATCCACGCAGACTGCGCCCGAGGAGCTGACACCCAAGTCTAAGGTGGAGCCGAGATGTTTGAACACTGACCACAGTCACGATCTCAGGGGTGAAATATGGGACCCTTTATCTCAGTTCGGGTGGATTTTTTAATCATCTCCCAGCAATAGCTGTGGTTCTGGGAGATGCACACCAGAGCTGAGGGCTTGAAGCACCCTGGGTGGCCCCGGGGAACACTTAATTAAACAGAAAGCCCATCACCAAGAGCCGATGACAACCCCCTGCTGGTTCCGGGACTCAGGGCCCACCTGACGCTGGCAGAGGTGGTCTTGCCTGCAGGAGCCCCAAAGACGGTGGAGGGAGGAAACAAGTGGGGGTCGTGGGGGGCTCACCGGGGCTGCAGACGGCCCAGTGCACTCCCTTCGGCAGGGGCAGTGCCCTGGCGTCACTGTACTAGCCGCATCCTGGGTTGGCCACTTAGCATGCAGGTCTCAGCCTCTGCGAGCCTGTCTCCTAACTTCACGTCGGGGCCATTGCAGCCCTTACCCTCGGCCCCTGCAGGAGCACTAGGTCCCCACACCACGGGCCCCCTTCCTGCATTTAGCAGGGAACTCCCTCCCAGGAGCTCGGAGGGCAGGCTTTGCTCCCGGGCACCTGGGCACTTTGCCTGCCTGTGGGACTCCAAAGCAACTCCCCAGCCTCCCCCTTCTGAGGAATTTCTTGGCTACAGAGGGGAGATGCTGAGGATAAGAAAAACACCTTCCCGAATACCAAGGAGCAACCCTGAGAGTTAAATCACCTTGGTGGGAGTCCTGAGCCGGCTTCCTCCGCTGAAGTAATTAATGGGATGGAGAGAGCAGCGGGGTGAGTCCGAGCCCCAGCTACAGTGAGCACCAAAAATTTACAACACGTTATTTTAGCCGTAAAGAGCCCTCGGGGCCCTTCCACTTGCAGGTCAGCTGGCATGGACGCCTGTCCCAGCCCCGATCTGTATTTACTGAGAAAATATCGCATGCCTCCCATCTGCTCTTGCACTTAATATCTGAAACGGAGCCACACAAAAACAAGGGGATGTTTAGGAAAAGGGGCAGGCTTTCCCTTGCACACGTGGAACATCTGATCTGAGTGTGTCTGCAGGTCCAGGAACCTCACTCAGGCTGGTTCCTCCTCCTCGCTCCGGCAAGCAGGGGTGATAACCCTCGGTGCATTGCAGAATGAGATGGGGCCAGAGACCCAGCATGGCCAGGGGCTTCAGCCCAGACCACTAGCCTGCCCCTCCTCTCTCTGGCCTCTCCCACGAGAGCCTGCTTTTCTGCCCTTGACCTTCTCATTCATTCATTCACCAGTGTTTGCTGTGTACCTACTAGGAGCCAGGTTTTATTTCAGAAATACGTCAGTGAAGAAACGAAAATAGATCAAGATCCCTGGCCTAGTGGACTGTGTTCCGGTGGGTGAAGGATGTCGGGTCACAAGCGAGGGGAGCCAGTGAGCTGGACGGTGGCCACTGTGGGGATGGAGGTGGGCTGGAGCTGCTGAGGGCTGCAGGTGGTCTTCATTTTGGCCAGGGTGGGCCAGGTGGACCTCGGTGTGAAGGCAGCCACTGTACAGAAATCTGGGGGGGGGGGCATTGGGGTTGGATGGGGGCCCCTCGTGGTGGAGCAAGGATGGGAGAAGAGGTGGTGGGTCAGGACCACCGTGGTCCATGTATCAGTGTTCTGAGGCTTCTGCAACAGATGACCACAAACGGGGTGGCTTGAAACAAGAGACATTGATTTCCTCACTGTTCTGGGCCAGGAGTTTGAAATCAAAGGTTCTGCAGGGCTGTGACCCCTCCAGAGGCCCCGGGGAAAGAGTCATCTCTCGCCTGCTCCTGATACTGCGGACAGTCCTCAGATGCATTGCTCCATCTCTGCCTCTGTGTCTCTCTTCCATTTCTTTTCTGATCAAGTTTCTTGTCATTGGGTTTGAGGCCCATCCAGTGAAACCAGGATGGGCTCATCTCAAAGCTGTTAACTTAATCCTGTCTGTCATCATTGAGTTGCCAAATCATGTCCCACTCTTTGTGACCCCATGGACTGTAGCCCACTAGGCTCCTCTGTCCACAGGATTTCCCAGGCAAGAAGACTGGAGTGGGTTGCCATTTCCTTCTTTGGGGGATCTTCCGAACCCAGGGATCAAATCCACCTCTCCTGTATTGGGAGGTGGTTTCTTTACTACTGAGCCACCAGGGAAGCCCATCCCATCCACAAAGACCCTTTCCCCAAACATGCTCGCGTCCACATAGGCCAGGGGTTAAGACCTGGGTGTATTATGGGGTCCCCATTCAATGCACTGCAGCCTGTAGGTCAAGCTCACGGGATGAGTGGGATTGGAAATCTGTACGTCCTGGCTGGAGGAATCACGGTGCAGGGTGGAAACCCAGATTCTCAGCAGGAGAGGAGGGCCAGAAATGTTCTAGACCTGACTGCTCCAAGGCCCACATCCCGGTGTGAGCTGGGGGTTAGCAAGCCTGCCTTGGGCTGGTCCCCCTCCTGGATAGGCACAGTCAGGATACAGGGTGGGCGGGGTTGGGCCATGCTGCTCACCAGAGGTTCTGTGCAGTCAGGTCACTTAGGCACATGCTCAACAGGCATCAGAAACTCCACCACGTGTGGACAATGTGATTAGAACAGAAGGCGGACAAGCCCCATCCAGGGACAAGCCCCATCCAGCCAGAGATGTACCCACAGCTCACTGGTGATGGCGTGGAGAGGCCTCGGGGCAAAGAGGGGAGGGGGCTGAGCCTGCAGAGGCTCGATGGGGCTCAGCATCAGAGTCCCCACAGAAATCCCGGGGGTCGAAGCCAGCTCTGTTGGGAGGGAGGGTGGGGAGGGAGTGAGGGGGGGATGCGGATACAGGAGTGGGGACAGAGCAAGGAGCGGGAGGTGGGCTGGAGAGGTGGGCAGGGCTGATGTTGGGAGCTTGACTGGCAGGGCTTGGATGGGCCCCTTGCTGGGGCACAATGTGCTGGGTCCACTGTGTCGTAACCGGGTGCCCAAGAAGGGGCGTCAGGACGCATTCAAGGTTAAAGGCGCCTGAGGTCGGTGGTCTGTCCCAACAGCATTTAGCATCAGAGCACAGACGCAGCACAGCTGATGTCCAAAGCACCTCCCCCCACCATGGTCTGACTTAACCTCCTGAGCCATGCTTGCTGGGTGGTGGGGAGGCCTCCCTGCCTGCTGTGGGAGGTGAAGGCAGGAGGTGACGGGTCGCAGGAATATTTTAAACTTTTCTTTCTCAGACACCTGGATGTTCCAGTCATGGCTGGAAGGTTGAAAAAGTTCGAAGTCCCATTCCTGGTTCCGGCCAATTGCTGAGGTCAGGAGGCTGCCAGCAGGGACCTGGGGCCTAGAGGGGAATGTCTGGCACATATTCTGTGCTGGGAAAGCAGCGGACTTCCGAATGGCGAGAAGAGGAAACACGAAAAGAAACAGAGAAGAAAGTTTACAGGTTGCAAAACAGGGCTGAGAAAGGAAATCTTAACTGTATTATTTGAAGCCAGGACAGAAGAGAAGAGAGACCTCTGTGTCATTTGCATTTTAAGTGGGGAAAGAATCGGTTAAATAATTGCAACAATAAAATAGCATCTTCTCATAAGAACACCCAGAGCCAAGGACTTGCAAACTCATTTGCTGACTCATTAAATATCAGAGCAGGTAGGATTTAAGCCTCAACCTCTGCCTGGCCTGCATCCCAGCTTCCCCACTTACTGGGCAACCCCCAGCTCTGAACCTTGGTGTTCTCATCTGTAAAATGGGGCTGAAAGAGTGCTGACTTCTCAGGGCTCTTTTGAGAGTTAAACAAGATCATGCGCAAGAAAGTCTTAGCATGTTGCCTGGTAAGCACGAATAAAGGTTATTGTTATTACTCTTATCACAGTTGTTTAAATACCAGTCACTGTATCAGGGGATTTATGTCTAATCATTATAAGAACTCCCTTCTACAGTGTGAAATTTGCTGGGGTACACAGACAGGAAAAAATAGTTACAGTTGTGTATAAGTCACTCAGTGCTTTAAGATAAGGAAACAATGGATACTTCGGGGGAGGGCAAGAAAGGGGTCTAGTGCAGGCCATTTGTTGTTGCTCAGTTGCTCAGTCGTGTCCGACTCTTTGCAACCCCATGGACTGCAGCACACCAGGCCTCCCTGTCCTTCACCATCTCCTAGAGCTTGCTCAAACTCATGTCCATCGAGTCGGAGATGCCATCCAGCCATCTCATCTCCTGACGGCCCCTTCTCCTCCTGCCTTCAGTCTTTCCCAGCATCAGGGTCTTTTCCAACGAGTCAGCTCTTCTCACCAGGTGGCCAACGTATTGGAGCTTCAGCTTCAGCATCAGTCCCTCCAGTGAATTTTCAGAGTTGATTGCCTGACTGGTTTGATCTCCTTGCTGTCCAAGAGACTCTCAAGCATCTTCTCTAGCACCACAATTCAAAAGTATTAATTCTTGGGTGCTCAGCCTTCTTTATGGTCCAACTCTCACATCCATACATGACTACAGGGAAAACTATATGGACCTTTGTCAATCAATTGATGTCTCTGCTTTTTAATATGCTGTCTAGGTTTGTTGTAGCAGGCTATGTAGAGAATAATAAAGTTACAGTAGACATGGCAATTTTGGTGTGTTGTCTAAACGAGCCAAAGATGGCCCTCTATCCTAAAACTCACTACTAGGTGCTGAGGTCAAAGCTGCACCCACGGAGCAATTCTAGGGTTAAACAACTTAAATACCAAATAAGGAAGACCTATATAAAGAAACTAAGCAGAGAAAATATGAAAACTAGAAAAGAAAAAAATAAAATAATTTAGAAATTCCAGTTTGAAAAATGTGGTGGAATTGAAAACAAAATCGAGAGCTGGTTCTTTTCAATAAGATTAAGGAAATTGAAAAAAATGACTAGCTAGCCTAACTTTTTAAAAAAGAGGAAAAAGATAAACAAAATTAGAAATGGATAAAGTAAATCATGATAAATGGTGGAAAATGGCATGTAAAGATTTTTAAATCTTAATGAAATGAATAAATTAAAAAAATACAAATCACAACATTAGTTTCAGAAACACTAAAATCTAAATAAGCCAAAAGCATTAAGATTTGAAAATATTGTGAGAGTGTAATTTCCAAAGTAAACGCCAAGTTTAAATGAACTGGGGTGAATTATTTCAAGCATCAATATGACATATGATTCCTGTGTGTTCCACAATGATGTAAGATATGGAAAAAGATCAAACATTTCCAATATGTTTTATAAACATATATATATAACTTTAATTCTCAAAATTAACAAGAATAATGCAAAAAAAAAAAATACTGTGTTGCTTAGGAAGGGAAGCCTTAGGAGTACAGAGGCCGGTCCCGCCCCTGAGCAGGAAGACTCCATACTGAAAGCACAGAACTTACCCTAGGCTGAGCTGAGTTCGGGGAGAATGGATACGTGTGTGCATGTGGCTGAGTCCCTCCACTGTTGACCTGAAACTACCACAACACTATTTGTTAATCGGCTATACCCCAATACAAAATAGAAAGTTAAAAAAATTCCCCCAAATTAACCAATAGATTATCTATTATTTGAATTTAGGTTGCAGTGCGCTTGGAGAGAAAGACAGAAGGAGAAATTTGATAATTCTGGAGTTCATTACTCTCGCTCTCTCTCTCTCTGTACATATATATATATTTGCAGGAAGTGTTCATTCCCATCAGGACTGGAGATTTTGTTTAAGGCATGTGTGGCAGGAAGAACCTCAGCACTCGTGGGACACCGATGGGCAGATAGGAAGCTGCGAAGGGATGGAGCCAGGAGGCACCATGAGGCCAGGAGGCACTGTGGCGCTCTGGAGGCCGCAGCAGTGGTACCCTTCTCTGACCCTCCGCCCTCGTGGACCCAGCCCACGTGCGTCCTTGCCTGCAGCTGCCCCTCGGTTCCCGTCAGCCCCTACACCACTCTCTAGGCTGTCTTCTCCCCTTTCCCCGTGGCCTTTGCTGACTCCTCCTACAGTCCGCTCTGAAGGTCAGCTACATGAGGTGGTGGGAAACGAGGCTTTAGGGATACGCCAAGTGCAGTCAGAAGGGGTTGGGTCCAAGCTTAGGAACACACCTCCATCAGGAGAGCGAGGGGAAGACTGGGGAAGAGTTTCAGATGAGGAAAGGACATCAGATGATGCAGGTAGAGGGTGGGGAAGAAGGGCTGAGGCCTGCCGTGGCTCCAGGAGGCCGGATGGTCCCCAGGGATGCTTCCAGAGGGAAGGATGGTCCCCAGGGATGCTGAGACCTCCCCTGGGAGCCCTCCTTCTGCCTCTCAGCACATTTCATCATTCCTGAGGGTTCAGGGCCAGATTCCAGGACTGTGACTCATGGGGTCAAGATTTCCAAGGGTTAAAGTTTGGGTCACTGGGGCCTTTCCTGCTGACGCAGAGAGGCAAGTGGTGGGTCTGTGATCCTCACTCCCTCTGAAAGATTTTGGGGAAACTGGGTAGACCTCACACATTTTAAGTTTACATATAAACATTTTAGTCACGTTTTTAAAAGTTGCCAAGTCTATAATTTCCAGGATATTGTAAATAACAAATTTAAGCAAAACTGTTACTTCTATGTTTCAAAGGTATTTGTTAGACTGTAAATATCATAATGAATCCCTTACTAATATTAGCTTAGAAAGTACATCATAAGCATTACCTGTCAGAAAATGTGCATGTTCCCTTTCTTTCCTTTAACTCCTAATTCTTTTCCATTTCCTCTACCTATGTCTGTATTCATGTAATATATTTTCATGCTGAAAAGCCTCTTATGGATCACCCTGTTATTATTCTGTCTCCTAATCCTATCACAAATGATGATATTTACATATATTAAAATTTAAAAATACATTTTTTCCTATAACCATGAAGCTCTAATATTAAAACATTTTAATATTTAAAAAAATTGACCACACCCAGGGACCAAACCTGAGCCCCCTGCTTTGGAAAGTGGAGCCTTAACCACTGGACTGTTGGGGAAGTCTCTTAAACTTTTTGATTAAGACAATTAAATTAAATAATTATTGACTAAATTAACAATTAAAATAGCATTGCAATTAATGTTAATTATTAATGATCAAAATTGTATAAATATGTTTAAATTTGATAAATATTAAGCAAAAAAGCAACATTCTCACAAATTGTGCTCAAACTTTTTCTATGCATTTAATAAAGGAAAGATATATGTTGCCAAAATGAGTTGGCCAGATGGCTGGACTATTTTTTTTATCCTTTTGTTAATACAAGATAGAAAAACCAAACAATTGTCTAAAACAGATAGGGTGAAGAATAACTGATACAGAATACATATTTAATAAAATGCTATGAAAAGTATGTTTTAAACATCTGATTAAGGAACAAACATCCTATCTGAAAAAAATCTCATGAAACATTTACCCATGGTGTTCCTGAAGTTGTTTCTGTCAGCTTTTGCTGGGTTAGGCTGCATAACAAATGAGCTCAAAATGCCCAGGGCCCACAGCTCTCATTTCTTGCTCAGGCTCCTGGGGGCTGGGTCTCCGCTCTGTGGATCTTCACACAGCCCAGGACCCAGGCTGGGTGAATCAGTCACTTTTCAGGACACCCATCCTCCTGGTTGAGGAACTGGAGTAGGAGAGCTGGTATGAGGAGGCTGGGGGGGGGGGCGGCGGTGGGGGCACAGCTCAAACCACTCACACCTGGAGCGGGCAGCGTCTCTGCGAGGAAGGAGCTGATCACACCTGAGGACATAAGCTGCCACAGACGTAGCTTGAACAAGTGGGTCACCCTGGACCAGGCACCAGTTATATTTGAGAGAATCA